CCAAGCCTCGCCAGCACGTACTGCAGATTGAATCACTGCCGAGTCATATCGGGGGCCGCGACGCGATCGTATATGAAACCCTAAATAGAGGTAAGCCTCCCTATCGTTCCTGGGCCGGACCTCCGCATTTCGTAGGATCTCAGCCTACGAATCGTGGTGCTCGTTGTTGTGTCAGAGCCTGACTGCATCTTTGAGTCACATACCGAGTCTGTTACGAATCGAGTCGAGCACAGCAAGGCTAACAGTGCAATGCAAGCTTGCCCTTCCGAGCACGGTTGCCCCTTCTCACATTACTTCCTCGGCCCATTCGTGCTGCATTCCCTCGCCCTGGTTCTGACCTGACCGACACTCACGCTGTCACTCGTCCTGGCTCTGACCGACCTTGCTTGTGTTGTGACCCATCCCAGCTTATAGCCAACCGAGGCTGTGATGTACCTAGCTTGTCCAACCTAGCTTACCCGACCTAGCTTGTCTGACATAGCTTGTCTGACATAGCTTGTCTGACCTAGCTTGTCTACCCTAACCCGTCTGACCTAGCATGTTTGACCTAGCCTGTGTGACCTAGCTTGTCTGGCCTAGCCTGTCTAAACTAGCTTATCTAGCATAGCCTGTCTGACCTAGCCTGTCTGACTGACGTATTCAGTCATTGTGGCCGACCTACCTCGTGGCACCCTAGACATGCGCACAGCACAGGGTGAGACATTATGTCAACTTTGAGTCGAGAGTCAAATGTCAGGTAGCGTCGGCCCTGTGGGAAATTCCGGAGATATGAATTTTCAGTAAAAAATAACTATGAGCTGAAACGGATCCCTTGGCAGCACTAAGGTGAGTAGACCCGGAGTGAGTTGCTTCGACTGAGGGCAAGTGTTGGAAGTGTGGGGGACGGGATTGCCCCCCACGCTAAGACCCCCCTTGACTCGGACCAAGGGGGGGTGTTTTCACGGAAGGTTGGGGTGACGGCGGATTGTCCGCGTCGCCACGCAACCAAAGTTCACCCGGTTGGGTCCGAAACTTTGTGGGGGCTACACTTGGCAGCCCCACAAGCTCTCACGAAAATAGCGAGAGTTCTAGCGAAGGTTTTGAACCATTCGCTACACTCGCTACCACTTCGTGTAACACACGCATTTGGTGTGTTGAAATGAACTCGGCAAGGTCCGAACATGTGAGCGCGGAGGTCGCGGAAATTCGACGTCCCAAGTCCAAATTTCCGCGAGTCGCGCGCGGTTCGATGTTACAATTGAGATTGCATGTTTTAGATATAAATTCCAGAGAGGAAACAGAGAGTTCATGCCTTCCAAGACTTGTGTACGAGTTTGTGCGCTCGAGTGGAGATGATGAGAAGTGTGTCGGTTGCCTTGAAGGGAAAATGGCACGGAAGCCATTTCCACCAAGCACGAAGCCGAACGCCACCGAACCTCTCAAGCTCGTTCACACGGACTTGTGTGGACCGATCACTCCCGCGTCAAAGGGCGGCGCGCGCTACGTTCTCACGCTCCTCGACGACGCGACGCGGATGTGTTGGATTCGGCTTCTCAATACCAAGGACGCCACGTCAACCGCCATCAAGCAATGGGTCGCGGATGTGGAGACGGAAAGCGGCTTCAAGGTGAAGCGCTTTCGCTCGGATGGAGGTGGCGAATACACCGCTCGGGAGCTCGGCGATTGGTTGAAAGGGCGTGGGACCGCGCATGAGTTCTCGACGCCGTACACGCCTCAACAAAATGGAGCCGCCGAACGCTTGAATCGCACGCTTATGGAGTCGGCACGAAGTCTCCTCTCCCATGCTCACGCGGAGAAGCATTGGTGGGGAGAGGCGGTTACGTTGGCAACTTGGATTCGCAACCGGTGCGTGACCAAGGCGTTGCCCAACAAGACGCCTCTTGAGGCTTGGAGCGGTACGAAGCCGGACGTCACCGACCTTCGCACGTTTGGGTGTACGTGCTACTACCATGTCCCGGATGCTACACGGACCAAGCTTGAGGCGAAGGCGCGGGTGGCGATGTACTTGGGTCCAAGCGCGGATCACAAGGGGTGGCGCGTGTGGGACTTGGAGCACGGGAAACTCGTGGTGTCGCGCGACGTGGTGTTCTACGAAGACACCTTCCCCTCCAAGTCTACGAACGTGCCCTCGGTCATCATCGTCCCTCCACCCTTGGATGCCGCGGATGAGGCGGATGATGTTTCTACGGCTCCTCCTCCTCGTGCGAGTGAGGGGGAGAATGGATCGGGTGCGGTTGGAGTGAGTGAGGATGAAGGAAATGCCAAGGAACGTGACCCTTCGTCTCCTCCTCCTCGTATCACTCCCACCCTCGCATCCACTCGCACTCGAAGGAACCCTCATCCCAACTCCAAGTTCGATGACTACTCTCTCGTGGCGGGGGATGATGAGGGAGGGGGAGACGCTATGTGTCTTGAGGCGTACACCGACACCCCGTCCACCTACCACGGCGCCATGAGCTCGGCGGAAGCGGCGGAATGGGAGCGCGCGCTTCAAGAGGAGTACGATTCACTCATGGCGAACGACGTCTACGAGCTTGTCCCCATGCCTCCCGGCGCCTACCTCGTTGGCTCTCGTTGGGTCTTCAAGAAGAAGCTCGGCCCCAACGGAGAAGTGGAGCGGTACAAGGCGCGGTTGGTGGCACAAGGCTACACTCAAAAGAAAGGTCTTCACTACAACGAGACGTTCGCTCCCGTTGCCAAGTCCGCTACCTTGCGCACTCTCTTGGCGTTGGCGGGAGCACTCGACTTGGAGGTGGAACAACTCGACGTGAAGACGGCGTTTCTCTACGGTCGTCTCAAGGAGGAGGTGTACATGAAGCAACCTCCCGGGTTCGACGACAACTCCGACCGCGTGTGCAAGCTCAAGCGCACAATCTACGGCCTCAAGCAAAGCCCTCGTGCGTGGTACACGAGGATCGACGATCACTTGCTCTCATTGGGTTTCGTGCGGAGCGAGTGTGACCACGCGCTCTACGTGCTCAACAAGGACGAGAAGAAGCTCGTTCTTCTCCTCTACGTCGACGACCTTCTCCTCGTGTCGGATTCCAAGGCCCTTGTAGCGGACGTGAAGGATAAGCTTGCCGCGGAATTCTCCATGCGTGACCTCGGCGCCGTCTCCCACTACCTAGGAATGCACATCGATCGTGATCGAGGGAACAAGACCCTCGCCCTCCACCAACACAAGTACTTGGAGAGTGTGGTGGATCGCTTCGGCATGATCGAGAGCAAGCCTACACCGACACCCATGGAAGCGGGGTTTCATCCCTTGGCCGTGAGTGATGAGAACCCGTTGGATCCCGAGAGCGCCAAGAACTTCCACTCGGTCGTTGGGTCGTGCATGTATGCCGCGGTGAGCACGCGACCCGACCTCTCCTTTCCCGTTGGAGTGCTTGGGCGTGTCGTCTCCAACCCCATGGTCGAGCATGTGCGAGCGTCACGACGCCTCCTTCGCTACATCAAGAGGACCACTCGTATGGGGTTGCACTACGAGAAGGGACCCGTGGTGCTTCAAGGCTACACGGATGCGGATTGGGCGGGAGATCCTTCAACCCGCCAAAGCACCTCGGGCTATATCTTCACCCTCGTGGGAGGTGCAATAAGTTGGCAAAGCAAGCGCCAAAACTTGATTGCACTTAGCTCCACCGAAGCGGAATACGTGGCGCTCACTCGTGGTGGTACGGAAGCGGTTTGTTAAACTAAGGCGTCTTCTTGCCGAGCTTGGGCACAAACAAGAAGGCCCCACTCCCATCTACGTGGACAACCAAGCCGCTATTGGCCTAGCCAAGATTTCGGTCCTTCACGGAAGGACCAAGCATATTCAAATCCGCCACCACTTCATTCGCAAGCTCGTTGAAGACAACGAAGTCGAGCTTCGTTACATCAAGACCAACTCCCAACCCGCGGACTTCCTTACCAAGCCATTGCCTAGAGATGCTCTTCATGCATGTTGTGCTAGGGTAGGCTTGCATGCTTAGGTGTGCGTGGGGTGCAAGGGGGAGTGTTGGAAGTGTGGGGGACGGGATTGCCCCCCACGCTAAGACCCCCCTTGACTCGGACCAAGGGGGGGTGTTTTCACGGAAGGTTGGGGTGACGGCGGATTGTCCGCGTCGCCACGCAACCAAAGTTCACCCGGTTGGGTCCGAAACTTTGTGGGGGCTACACTTGGCAGCCCCACAAGCTCTCACGAAAATAGCGAGAGTTCTAGCGAAGGTTTTGAACCATTCGCTACACTCGCTACCACTTCGTGTAACACACGCATTTGGTGTGTTGAAATGAACTCGGCAAGGTCCGAACATGTGAGCGCGGAGGTCGCGGAAATTCGACGTCCCAAGTCCAAATTTCCGCGAGTCGCGCGCGGTTCGATGTTACAATTGAGATTGCATGTTTTAGATATAAATTCCAGAGAGGAAACAGAGAGTTCATGCCTTCCAAGACTTGTGTACCCATCTCCATATTATAAGCAAGTTCTCTCTCAATTCTCGGGCGTTTTCAGTGATTCAAAGTGCTACTGCTTCGTTGCTCCGAGCCCGTCGTATCGATCCTAGGCTCTGCCTCTAGCTCGCCAAGTTAATTCTGTGGCGCTAGCTAAACAGAGGCGGATTCTTTCAGCAAGATGATCTAAGGTGGATCACTTTGCACTAAGGCAAACGATAAGTCGGATGGTTTGGCGTGATAAACTTGAGTTAGTTGAAAGATGGATCTCAAATACGCAAAATTCCGTTTCTGAACGTATGTTGGCCGACTCAAGTGCCTGGTTTGATTGCGACAACCTACTCACCTCGCGACAAGTCAGCTGAGAATGTGATTTCAAAAGCCTCTTTATACAATGCGCGGCTAACTTCTTAGACGAGGACAACCTGGCTAGGCGGAAACTTCGGTTGGTGAGGTTTGCGGAAAGGCGGAATCGAAAGATTCGGTTGCGACACGAGTCAGCTTCGGGTTTGGCAACTCTGCCGAGCCTGATGCCCGCCATGTTGTCGCCACGAATCCGGTAACCCTTTTGTTGTCACCTCGCTTCCTAACCCAACGCATTATGGCTCGCTTTATAGACGGGGACAACCTGCTTAGGCGAAAACTTCGGTTGGCGAGGTTTGGGGAAGGCGGATTCGAGAGTTTCGGAATAAACACGAGCCAGCTTCGGGTTCGGCAACTCTGCTGAGCCTGATGCCCGCCATGTTGTCGCCACGAATCTGGTAACCCCTTTGTTCTCGCCTCTGGAAAACTCAACGCATGAACGTCTCGGCTCCGAACCTGGCGTGCCAGACGTACACCCTTTGTTTTCGGCACAGACAAAGCGCTCCCAGCCTTGTGCTTCGAAGGGGCCGTTGTGTTCGAGGCATTGGAGTTTTGGACCTGTTTTTTGCGAACAGCGAAACTCTTGAGTGTTGTTTGCGAAGTCAGTAACCCTTCAAAGTTTGCTCCTACCGCGCAAAACTGGATGGTAAGCAACTCGCCTCGGCAGGTCTCTGCTCTCTCCCGACCTGAATTGCCAGAGCCGCTGCTCAAGCGGGAAAGATACTATTCGAATATATCCACCCGAATTCGTGGCTTTCACGTTCTTAGCTTTAGGAGTAGGCTCTGCTGTGCGTTGTCGATCTATTTTTTAGGCGCTTAAGAGCTAGACGCTATGCTTCACTGTCGGTCCTACCAGTTTTAATTGTCGTGATGGGTGCTTTGAGCATTCGGCTCGGCGCGCTTATGCTCTTCCTGCCGACGTGTCTCGCCGCAGTTTGCAGTGTGACTGTTGTACCCCTCCCAAGGTCCGTGTCTTTTGCCATGTCACGCCGCCGTTTAATGTAAAGCTGTCAACTCGCCAAGTCACACCGTCACGTCATTTCGCCGCGTCGCGCTGCGATGTCCCCATGTCACGCCGCCAATCTCATGTCACTCTGCCATTTCGTCATGTAACGCCCCCATTTCGCATGTCACGAAGCCGTTTCGTCATGTCACGTCGTCATTTCGCCGCGTCGCGCCACTTTTCGCCACGTCGCGCCGCCATTTCGCCACGTCGAGCCGCCATTCGTCATCTAGAGATTGGCGAATGGCGGTTTGGCCCCACCCCTCAAAGCAATGCTGCCCTTTAACGAGTCGCTCCGAGGGTAGACCATGATATCACTAGCTTGCATGTGCAAAACGTCAAACGCCAACACACGCCAACACATTGCAGGTGACCAGGGTTTAGGCGTGTATAGTCATGCTGTGTGTTGGCGTGTGGCCGCCTTAGTTGGCTTTGACGCTAGGAAAGCCCAGCGTCATGGGTCAAAAGTGGCCGCGTCATGGCCTGGTGGTCCGGCCTTATTGTCTTTTCGGCTCTGCTCGGATCTGGTCTGTTCTGGTCGCTCTATTCGTGTCCGCTCTGCTGTGACGTTTGCTTGCCGGCAGGTGAGGGGAGCGAGGCAAGAGGTGAGTGATTTGGCAGCAGCATGGAAATTGTAACATTTTGCTGCTCTATTGCTCAGGACTCTCGGAACCCTCCCCCTCTGCCTTTCGTCCCTCCCACAGTGACCGTGCTGCAGGAGTGCCAGCAGGCATGGGGGAGGACGTTTGAGGGGTGGCGAGTGGGAGCGATTTGTGCGCCTTATACCCCATGGCTCTGTCCCCGAGCTGTTTCCCCGCCCTCTGCCCCATGCCTCTGCCCCATGCCTCTGCCCCCCAGCTGTTTCCCCCGGCTCTGCCCCATGCCTCTGCTGTGTCGGTTGACAGCCTTGTTGCTAAATTCAAGTGGAGAGAGCATGTGAGTGAAGGGGGAGAGGGGAAGTGAGCAACAGGGATTGGGAGTGATTGGGGAGAGAAGCGGAGTGAGTGAAAGGGGTAGGAGATTGAGTGAGTGAGGTGGGGAGCGAGGAGGCAGAGCCTCCCGGGTGTGGCAGAGTGCGGAACAGGGAGGTGGGCTGATTGGAAATAAGCGCTTCTATTCAGCATCCTTGGCCAGGGTGAATTCCCATGCCCTCTCAGCAGGCATGAGAAGCAGCACGCTGTGATGGCTTCCCCATTCCATTCATCACACTACAACGGAAAAAGGGCTGGGTGGGAGCTGGTGTGGATGGGTCGGGGCGTGACATGCCTCAGCAGAGTTGGAGTGAGGGAGCCAAGGGGTGCAAGTGAGGAGGAGGAGCACAGCAGGTGGGACTGGGTGGGTACGAGTGGGAGAAGATTGGAAAGTGGGTTGGGATTGCTTTTGCACAGGGTTCATTCACACTTGGAGGAGCAGGCACTTCGCGATTGGAGTGCATCATCGCGTGCCCCATGTGCACCACCACGCTTCGCGTGGCATTGCGCAGCAAGGGGTGGGGCGTACCGCTATTGCCATTTAGGTGCAAGTGTCACGGGCCGGGCCGTGGCGATTTGGAGGGGAGCAGCTCGAGGAAAGCGGTTACGGCGAAGGGTGAGGCGGACGCTCCTTTGTGCCTGCTCCGGTCTGCCCCCGCCAATCCGCTAGTACAATCTTATGACACCCTCCGCTCCCATTGGCTGGAAGGCGCCTTCTCAACTGATGGCTTCCTCAAGGACGGTACTCGGCTTTTCAGTGAAGTGTCGCAGTGCGACGGTGGTGGCAGTGCGGACTCGAGGAGCTGAGTTGGATCATGCGGACAGGTGCAGCAGGCTTCTCTCAATTCCATCTCTGCCTTCCATCCATTGCTGCCTGCTGAACATGCCCTCTCCCTTTGCGCAGTCACCTCTGTGCCCTATTTCTGGCGCTAGCTTGCTGTCAAGACAGAAAGTGAGCACTGTTCTCCCATGCGCCATGCCTTAAGCTGTCTCTGCGTCCCTCTTCCCTCCTTCCCTCCCTCTTCCCCCCCTCCGGCACACCCGTAGAAGTCAGCGCTTGGCACACCCGTAGAAGTCAGCGCTCAGCCCAGATTCAATAGTGCTCTCACCACCGAATGTGCCGAGGGCGAAGGCTCTGCGGTGTGCCACTGGTAGAGCTAGGTGGAATACGTGCCACGTCTTAGCTGACGGCAGCAAAGCAAGGATGGTGCCAATGCAGAGGTGAGAGAAGCCTTGTAGGATAGAAGGCGCCCTCGCCTCGCCACAGTGGTAGAAGAATCTGGATTGCTCTCTATCCTTCCTTTCTGTCCTCACATCCCATCCAGGATTTCGCCTAACTTGATGTTTCTGGCGCTAGGTTCCATGTGCCCTAGTGGCGAGCAGCACAGCTCACTGCAACACACAGCCTGGCAGGCAGCAGAGGCACGAGAGAACATTCATGCGAGAAGTGGATGCACACAGGTGAGTAGGGGGGCATGGGGGCGAAGGGCCAGGCAGCAGCTATGGCATGACCTTGTATAAGTGGTGTTAACTCATTGCTTGATGATGTTCATGTGGGGCCTTTAGTCTCAGCTTAAAAAATCTGAGGTGCAAACACATGGCATCATTACATGCCATAGGTGCAGGTTGCTTCTCACCTGACGGCAGGCAGGGCGAGAGCAGCCGAATAGGCGGAAGTGAATCACCAGCTCACACTATCTCGCTTCTTCCATACCTTTCCCCGCGCTTCTCTCCTTTGCTCCTGCTATGGTCCTTCTGGGACTCGTTTTCTGATCGAAATATGAATTTCAGCGCTGGTGCAAAACCATAAACTCGTTTCCACTCTCCTCTCCTTGCTTTGCAGTACGCCCGTACTTCCCTCTTTGTCCTCTTTGTCTTTCACAGCGACAACTCAGCCCGTAGTGGCTGTGAGAGCAGGAAAGCAAAGATACTGAGTCGAGGAGCTGCGATGTCACGATATGTGAGGGCTCGCTGCGAAAAAAGGGGGACCGAGGGCGGCGGACATAGAGTCGAGGGTTTTCTAAAGATAAGCTATAGGACAGGAGGTGGCAGGGGGGACAAGAGCAGAAGGGGAAGCAGTTGGAGGCGAAGGAGGGGAGGAGGGCGAAGAGAGACAAGGAGAGATGTCAAAGGGAGGTGGAGGAGGAGAGGAGGTAGCAGTGGGATGATGTGTGTGACAGCAGGGGGCAGTAAACCAAGTGGCCATCATGGGTTACGCAAGAACATGAAAAGCGTTGGCAACGTCGCTTTCACAGGGTGGGCGGAGGCAGTGCAAGCGTGCGACGGCAAGGAGCATGACCAGTGTTCGTGTTGAGTGTGGCTTGTGCTGCACTTTTTCTCGAAATTGCCAGCTCACACGCTTGATTCGCTTCAGGAACTGAGGCATAGCAGGGATGCAAGTGCAAGAAAATGACCTGCATGGCTTGTGGCGAGGGAACTTGTGCGTTTCCACAGGTTCGGCGGTGGTGATTCACATTGTCGGGGTAGAGGCAGCGAAAGAAAAAGTGTGAAGGTGAGGAGCTTGATGGATGGTGGTCGTAGAGTACGTTGGGTGCACGTGAGGCAGTTGGTGCTAAAAATGCATTCCACCTCTCGTGAGGCACAATCCATGTGAATCGCACAAAACAGGTTGATACGGTAGTATTATGGAGAATAGCTGGATATCAAATTACTATTCTATGATACAACCATTGTGTGCTATTGTATCGCACAAAACTGTTGAAGATGTACAAACTTACTGCATCATATTTATTGACTAAAAACTTGGCAATTTTAGATGCACACAAAAATTAGAAGGAAATAAGAACATTGCTGTGGTCGAATTTTAGGGCGTACTGGTCCGCGGTGTTCGCGTCAGGTGGTTCGGCATTCAAACCGCGCTAAACCACCCCCGAATCGCCCCCGCACCTTTCGCACACTTCCGAGCCTCGTTTTCCCGAGGTTCTCGCTTAGCAAGGGTTTCCCCTATATCATCCCGTCATCTCAATTGCATCGTCACTCTCTCTCTAATCGCACTCCCGAAATTCACAGATTCCACGTACTATCTGCGATCGTAACCCAGCTCCTAGCGAGTATAGCTTCACCGCTCGTGGCGAGCACGACTGCGGATCGCAAACGACATGGGGGAACAGCGGGCAGCGCGTTCTTTTGATTGAAGAACAAGCGACTAGGTTAGGAATTACGATATACTAGGGCCAGTTCCGTTTTGTTAGAAAGTATAGTTGGTGCATGCTGGCGCAGTCACGGTGGCAGCAGCGTCGCGCGGTGCACGTTGGTGCTGCTCGCCTGCAGCCGCCTGGGCGGCATTGAAGCGGCAGGTGCGCGTGTGACGAGACGGGCGAGATGCGCGCGCTGTTGCGCCATTGGCGACGTTGGACGAGGTGGGCGAGATGCGCGCATTCACCGCCGTTGGCGGTCGCCACTACTATTGGAGGGATGCGCGGGACGGTGGCACGGCGTGATGCGAGTGGCACGGGAATAGGCAGGCGGAAATAGGGACGATGGAAGTATGCACGACGAGAGTAGGGGACGGGGAGAGTAGGGACGGAAAGAGTAGGGACGGGGAGAAGAGAATAGGGACGGGGAGAAGAGAATAGGGACGGGGAGAGGAAGGACGGGGATAGTAGGGACGGGGAGAGTAGGGACAGAGAGCGTAGGGACGGGGAGAACAGGGGCGGGAAGAGTAGGGGCCCAGGAGAGTAGGCACGGGGAGAATTGGGCCGAAGAGAGTAGGGACAGAGAAAGTTGGGACAGAGAGCGTAGGGACGGGGAGAATAGGGACTGGGAGAGTAGGGACGGGGAGAAGAGAATAGGGACGGGGTTAGTAGGGATGGGAAGAGTTGGGACGGGGAGAGTAGGGACGGAAAGAGTAGGGATGGGGATATTAGGGACGGGGAGACAAGGAACGGGGAGAGTTGGAACGGGGAGAAGAGAATAGGGACGGGGAGGATAGGGACGGGGAGAGTTGGGGCGGGGAGAGTAGGGACGGGGAGAGTAGGGACGGGGAGAGTAGGGACGGGGAGAATGGGGACGGGAAGAGGAGGAACGGGGAGAATGGGGACGGGAAGGGTAGGGACGGGGAGAGTAGGGACGGGGGGAGTAGGGACGGGGAGAGTATGGACGGGGAGAGTAGGGACGGGGAGAGTAGGGACGGGGAGAGTAGGGACGGGGAGAATTGGGCTGGGGAGAGTAGGACGGATAGAGTAGGGACGGTGAGAAAAGAATAGGGGATGGGAGAGTAGGGACCGAGAGAGTAGGGACGGGGAGAAGAGAATAGGGACGGGGAGAGTAAGGACCGAAAGAAACGGGGATAGTAGGGACGGGGATGCTTGGGACGGTGGTACAGAGTGATGCGCGGTGGGTGAGCCATCCCCGCGCGCAACCACCCACACCCGATCACCGTCCCGCTCCTACCAACCATGCAGGCCTGCATCGCCATGATGGGTATCGTGCACGAGAATGAGTCACTCCGTCGCAGCACCGTGAGTGCGAGAGCGTGGCGTCGCCGTTGGGCGAAAAAGATTCCGCATTCAACCCACCTCACATCCACCCACCTTCTCATCCCTCCCACTCCATTCCATTCCCCCCGTTCCTTTTCGCCTGTCCCTTTCCGCTCATCCCTTTCCGCCCATTCTGCATGCCATGCTCTCCCTATCCTCCTCCGTTTCCGTTTAACGTCCACGCCCGCAACACAGTGCTCCGGAGCCATAATAGATTTTCAAGCCAAGGCAGTAGCGCGAGCAGGGACTGTTGCCTCGCGGCTCGCCAGCCCATATTCCATTCCAACTAGCATAGAGGAGAGGGGGTAAAGAAGGGGCAAGGGGGGAGAGGGGGAGGGGGGGGATACCAGCCCCACCCCCCGTCTCCCCATCGCGATCAGCAGCATTTTCGTAGGAATGAAATGCAAACCAACCAGACGACGCCACGCAGCCTCCACTCCAATCGACACGGAAGGTTATCAGCAAGTTTGACGAGGCGCCCACGCTGAAAGCAACCTCCACATAGACCGGTTGTAAGTTTGAATCGAGCAACTTTCAGTTACCTGAACCAGAACCTACATCTCGAGCCTCACTGTTTTCGCGATGCCCTCTCCCCTCTCCCGTTCCTCCTCTTCTCACGTATCTGCTTCCCCCCTTCCTCCTCCCTACTCTTCGCTCCCCCCTTCTTTGAATCCCTCCCAACCCTCCTTTGAATCTGTCCCCTCCCCTACTCCTCTGAATCCCTCCCCCCGCCCTCTGAATCTCTCTCCCCGCCCTCTGAATCCCTCCCCCATCATCACCTCCTCTACTCGTTGCACGTGCCGTGCCACGAGGAAGCTGCCGCTACTCCCTTCAGTCCTCTTCCCCCTCCCCTTCCCCACCGGCTCCTTTGGCCTCGCCCCCCTTCCACAGCTTGCTGCATATTGAGTGGTATCATTACCCTCTTGATCTCCCCCATCCTCTCCGTGCTTGCGGGTGGACAAGTTCCTTCACCACATGTTGATGCCCTCCCTGATTTACCCCGCTGCTCAACCCCTTCCCCTCCACCCACACCGCGCCCCTTTTCACCCACTTCCCCCATTCCGTGCCTGTCCTCTCCCCTCGCACCATGCCACTGTGCCCCGTTTCCTCTCCCCTCCCCGCTCCTCCATCGCACCCCCTCAGACCACACCAGGGGACGTGGTTTCCAGCGTGTGCCACAGAGGGCAGCAGTGGAAGGACTTCACAGCTGGCAGGCTGAGCTGGCCTGCCACATGCGTGTCAGGCAGCCACTGCAGCAGGCGAGGAGGAGCCGAGGAATAATGCGATATTGAGCAGCAGGGTGGGGGTTGCACGGTAGGAATGATGCCACTTGTGGGAGTTGGAGGGCGTCGTAGAGGGAGCAAAGGCGGCACGCAGGGGGAGTGTAGTGAGCCGGGCATGGCAGCAAGGGTGCACTACGACGTGGTCACACAGGACATGCTGCTTACCCTCGCTGCTTACATTCCATCTGGTCCGTCACACACAGACACCAGTCATGCCATCCACCCCATCCTAGCCCGCTGCCCCGCCATCTCTTTACTCTTCCTATATCCGGGTATTTATGCCTTTCATGAAAGCTGCAAAATTTCTTTCGTTTTGCCATAAGCTGCGGAAGATATGTTCCTGCCTCCCTCCCTCCCTCCATCTCCCCTGTGCCACCCATTCCATTATCCCAACTGCCAATTCCATCCTCCCATGGATTGCCCCTCACTTTCTATGCCGCTTTCTGTTCCCCCCAGGGACCATGCAGAGCAGTACAGCGTACGAGTGGACTTGCCTACCTCGCCATGCTAGACGTGAGGAGCAGTGGTGAGGGTGGGTAAATTCGCTGCTAACTGTGTGTCTGTTGAGTGTTTTCCCCAGCGTATTCCATGCTCTGCCTGCCTGCCATGCTCTGCCTGCCTGCCATGGTCTGAAGCTTGTGAATTTCTCCACACCCAAGCGCCTGTTCCTTAGCTCCCACCCTGCAGTAGGTTCCACCATCCTGTAATATCCATCGCATCCCACCATGTATTTCTGAGCGCTCCCTTTCTTCCCCCCACCTTTTCATCCAATCCGTCTTTTCCTCCCTCTCAACTGCCATCTCGCATGTTTGAGGCGCGTCAGACGCTGACCAGAGGATGCATTCAGGCAAAGCGCGTGTCACTGTCACTTCCGCGGAAGCTCCACGAAGGAGGCGAGTCAGAGCGTGTTGGGAATCCGCATGTCTCGCCGTCAGATCCCATCCGTTGCTCATGAAGTCGCTGGTGGTTGCCTTTGAGGATTCTCACATGCACCCACATCTAGGTTGCCGCCAATGTATCTGTGCGAATAGGATATTTCACAGCACGTGATCGATCAAGCCCAAGGGGCAATCATCTCTGTGTTTCATGTCAAGACGTCCGTTCAGTTTAGCCGCGGAAATAGCGAGATCGGGCTGCGGTGGCAAGATCTGCGTCACTTGAGCAGCGTCGCTGGCAGCAGGAGCAGCCGCCAGCAGCAGAATCACCACCAGCTGCAGCAGCAGCAGGAGCTGCGCGCCGTGTCGGTGCGAGGCGGGAGGGAGTGCGCAGCAGCATTTGCCGCAGCAGCGGCGAGAGCTGCGCGCCGAGCAAGGCGGGGGTTCGCGGTGGACGGAGAGTCTGACAATGCCGCCAGCTGGCGACACAGGCAGGAGGACGGGTCATTGCTGCAGCTGCTAGCTGAAAACCATGTCTAAAACTAATACTAGCTACAAAAGGCTAGCAGGAGCTACTTGTAAGGGAACTAATGGCTATTGCTGTAGTGATTGCACATAATAGATTGGGTTGTCCGCGACGATTCCTCCAACGCGACTATGGTGTGGACGGAGAAAACGGTACGATTCCATGCACAGCTATGAGAAATCGCCATTGATAATCACGGAAGCGAGCTAGAAACAATTTTAGGGTTGGAAGCTGCAATGTTTAGGGCGTGTTCCCGCGTATTTCGAACGGAGAAGAAATGACCTCGGCCCAATGAAGGGCTAGCCTTTTTACAGTAGGCGAAAACCTCGGCTGGTGAGGTTCGGGGTAAGGCGGAGCCGAAAGGTTCGGAAGCGATACGAGTCAGCTTCGGTATCGTCGAATTGACCGAGCCTTAACCCCGCTATGTTCTACAATTCAGCCGAACCTAAGTGACGTGAAGGAATGTGGTAACTCCTATAATTTCGTCCCCAAACACCAGACCGAACGTAGACCTCCGAAGTTTCCGCTTCCGGTTCTGGCGTGCCGGACGTATAACCTTCTGCTTCGGCACGGAAAGAGGTTGCATGAGGTGTACTCAAGTTTTGGCCTGTATTTCTGCGAACTCGGAACGGAACCTCGCAGAGTTCGGAGCTTCGCACATTGCTGTAGCGACATGAACGAAGTCGGTAACTCTATAAAGTTTCCTCCCAACAGACAAAACCAAATTCAAAGCAATCCGCCTCACTAGACTCTTTATCCTGAAGTGGCCCAGCTAGTTAGCTGGTTCACTTCCGAAAGATGAGGTCCCGGGATCAAATCCCCCCTGCGGCGTGTTCTGCCAGCCCCCCAGAAGGGGGTTACACAGGTGCTCATCTGGGAGTGGATAGAACAACCTCGTTGACCCAGCGAGGAGTGTAAACAAATGGGGAGGCGGGTTACGACCGACAGCCAGGTGTGGTTAACACCCAGAGGGGTTTCCCCCCCTCCTTTAACCTTTAACCGTCTCACTAGACTCTGCTTTCTCCTCAATCGCATCGAGGAGGAGCCGCTGCTCGAGCGGAAAGCTAGATTTCCTCGTTCGAGGCGTCAGAAGTAGGCTCTGCTATCGACTCGGCGCCCGTATGCTCTTCCTGCCGACGTGACTATTGCACCCCTCCGAAGGTCCGTGTAGTTCACTTTTCGCCATGTCACGCCGTCATCTCGCCATGCCATGCCGTTATTTCGCCATGCGACGCCTCCATTTCGTCATGTCACACCGTCATTTCGCCGCGTCGCGCTGCATGTCGCCATGTCACGCCGCCTTCAGCTCGCTCGTCGCTGTTAGAGGGCCCTACTACAGCGAGGGCCCTCGTTGACCTTTGACTTGGCAGGTCGATGAACGACCAAGACTATACGCGGCCCTGCACCGACCCTATGACGTCGTGGGACTATGCCGACGCTAATGAAGTCACTACTGGGGTGGTGCTAGCTTAGGGAGTCGTGGGCGTGCTTCTTGGGTGGTCTTGGTAGTTGTGGGTGATTCCCTGTGAGTCTCGCCATTTCTAGGTGTGTTGGGAGAATTGGCGAGCCCGGCATTGACTTCCCTGCTGAGTTGGGAAGTTGGCGAGGCGCGGTTCACCCATCCACACGACAGTTTCGTGGGGTTGGGTTACTGCGCAGTGTCACTGTAATGAACATACATTCATTACTGTAGAGGCTGCTCCTAGCGAGGACAGCCCGAACAGTTCGCGTCAGCTGGGTTCGGCCTACACTTCCGCACCGAACCTATTCCGAGTCGCGCATCACCAATCGCGACATTTCCGAGCCAACCACGTCCAGAGGTCCTTGCCTAGCACGGTTTCGACCCTATAAATGCTCGTCTCTTTATCATTCTCGTCATTCTGTAATCACGTCTTCTTTATAAAGTCTTCCGCGCACTCTGTCTAGTAAAACTCATAACACTTGGTATCAGAGCTACTTTCCTAGCTTCCCCGTTTTTTAGAGTGTATTACCCCTCGGGGGGGGATAGGGAAGGATGCCGTGGTGACAAGAGCAGCGTAGTAGCCGGACAGGAGAACGGATAGTTGCTCCTAGCGGCCATGTTTTTACGGGCGCTCCTGCTGCACCGACGGATCCTTGCCCTCGACGGTCGAGATGGACCGTGGCCTCCCTCCCCCCGGGTGGCGGACAGCTTTTGCTGTCGTCGCATTAATGGCGTAAGTTAACAGTGTTCGTTTTGGTCAATTTCGGAGTTAATGCTGTGTGGCAGTTGACGTCAACGAGGTCGCCGTCACTGCACGTCCGAAATTGTCGGAAGCGTCCGTAGTGCGAGTTGAGTCGGCACGTGGTCGTCAACTGCGCACGAAATCTTCGGAGTGGGCTGCATGCAGCAAGTGGTGCCGAGCATCTGCGTCACGTTGTGCATGAGTCCGCTGGAGATCTTCGGCAAGTGGCGCGTCGTCACTGTGCGCGAAGATTTCGGGTAGCAGCACATGGGAAACGACTGCTGGTTGAGCAGCCAGACGCAATGTGTGATTTGCGTCGGAAAATCCGACGGCGAGGAGAGGCGGCGTGACGACTGCCCGAAGAAAGCAGGGGTTTTCCGTCGTCCCACTCGGGTGCAGCGGCGTTCTGCAGGATGGTGCGTCGTGGGCGATTTTCGGCAGAGCGGCACAGTGTGGGACGGAAGTCGTTCTTCAAACCACCGAAAAGTTCGGAAAAGGCCGCCTATGACCAGACTGTTCCGGCTTGGGTGACTACTGTTTCTGGCACAATGTTAATCGGCAAAAATTTCGAAGCAACAGTGGCAGCCGATTCTGCACTTCACGCGTCACAGTTCCCTCCGGCCAGAGGTACCTGTGTTTGCAGACAGCCCAGTACACCACGGAACAACGATTCGGCGCAGCGTTTAGACCCGCGAATTTCGGGGGTTCTACCGGCTACAATACACGGAGTTGCGACTAATACGGGTCCGGCGAGAGAAACGGGTTCCGGCTTCAGGAGGAGAGAAAACGACCTACTGCGACGACTTTTTGCTGAGGCCGAGTTTTGCGGCTAAGCGGCGGTGGAAGAAGGAGCTCCCTACCGGCCAAGTCTACCAACGTTTCACATACCTCACACCAAGTACCTCGAAGGCGTTATAAGACCTGTTGGTCCTGGACGGAAAAGGTGGGGCCCTGTGTTTAGCCCTGTGCTGGTTAGAAAGGCACGGGTTGTGCTGGTTCGACGGCAGGGCGTTCAAGAAAGAACTTCAAGGATGCAGCACTGTTTCGGC